AATTGAGAACACTGGATCAAAAATCTGACCTATGATGATTCACACTGGAGAGCTAAAGGGAGAGGTTAAGTTTGTTACCTTTTCCTTTAAATCCAAACACATCTCTACTGTACTTTGCAAGACAAGGGTAATTTAATATGTTCATCTGTTCTTTACATTTGGTGCTGGGAAAGGATCACTCACTGCAGGAAGGGAAGGCCATTTGCAGGGAAGGTTGGGTGAAACTCTTGGAGTATGTACTCCAGTAATTTGTGTTGCTTTGAGTAAGGAGGCACATGAACAATCTCTATGGTGGTGATGCTGTTCACGTGGCATTGGTACAGAACCCTCAACCCAACCAGCAGGTCACCTTGACCAGTATAAATGCAAAACAGTTTAGTCAGTTTAGAAAAGAATCACATGAGCATGATGTTTATTTCTCCAGCAGAATCTCTTTCCTTCACAGTCTTTCAGGTGCTTCTTTGCTGAAAGGTGCAGTCTTTATTTCAGACATCTTCCTATAAGAAACATTTTTTTTTTAAAGGGTACATTTAAAGATGAAAACTGAGGCTTGAGTAACTTCATCAGCATACAAATTACACATATAAAAGTTCTCTTTCATTGTCTCAACTTACAGTTTATTTTGTACAGAATTCATTATGTTATACATCTAAGACTTATTATATTGTATAAATATCTCGGGTGTGATGTATATACATACTCAGTTTTATAGATTCAGCAATTAATGTATGCATTTCACAATACACTATAGTGTATTTCCATGTAGTGCACATGATTTATATTTCAGAAAAGAGCACACCCGCTTGAAAAATTGGGCTTCCATCCCTAGGGCACTCTGCCTTGAAATACAGGGTTTCCATCAGGTAATGGACTGTTTGTCCTGTGTCATATGGCTGTAAGATTTGCTTGTACCTTCCCCAATACTAAGAAACAGCAGCTCAAAACTGTGTGGTTCTACATCAAGAGGAGAGCAGGACACTGTTTTCCCAAGTTCTTATTAAAATGGGAAGGAAGGCATAGACAAGCCACATGGAGCTAGGCTGAGTGTGATGGCCACATGAAAAAAGAAGTTCTGCACAGATGAGAAGGACAAGCTCTTGCTTCTCCATTCTCTGCATGCCAGTGTTCAGCTGCTGTAACTCAGCTCTGAGTAGAAGAGCTATGGGTCTGGCATCAACTTGATTTTTCAAGTTGAAAAACTCCCCATGTGCTGTTATTCCACTCTTGGCTTACAGAATTTTCCCTGGGTGTCTCCTGGTACATGTGTTGTTACTACGTGGTGTCTTTCCTTGACAGCAGGCACAGAAACTTGCTCACAATCTCTTCTCTATACAAGCTGTAAGTAAGATGTGCTGTTTGCTCAGTATTAAATTACAGGTGTTGCTTTTCCTGGGCACCTACTGAAGCCTGATTCTAATTAATCTGTCATTATAATTTCTATGTTCTTTTTGCAGACAATTCTAGTTTCCTGCATCCATCCATCCATATTGTGCCTTTTGATTATTTGACTGCCTTTCCTTTTTAATCTCAAAAGCAGAGATTCTTTTATCAATGTATAAACGCTGTTCATTTAACAGCAAAGCAGAATATTATATATTCTGTGAAGAAAATACTTTTAAAGAGCAATTAAAAAATTCAGAAGAATCAGAAAAATGTGGGATTTAAAATTACATTTACTTAAAGTATGTAATAATTTCAAAACTAAATTTTTATATTAAAAAGATCTGAACTATATATATTTTGCATCACATATATTAAAATAAATTATATGAGAAGTAGTATAAGCACTTAAACCAGCAGAAATCCAGAAAAACTCCACTTTATTGGTGTTATCCCAGTTTTACTGAGAATAGAATTCTCTCTTCGCACCTGTTTTGTTTTTCATGTTGCCATTTTTCCATGTAAGAATTTTCATGTGACAACACATGATATAAAGCAGAAAGGAAGTTTGTATGCAGTTGTAGAATTTCCCCCCATGCCTTGTTGCCAGATTTAGGGAAGGGTCTTTTCGTGGAAAGCTGTATCTCATTCCATTGTTTACCTGATCACAGTGGAGGGTGAACTCCTTTGTAATGGGCTGTATTTGTAATTTAACTTTGGGATAGACATGTATGATGCCTATAGCTGCAAAAGTCCTGACTCTAAAGCAGCCCCACATTCAGAGCCACCTAACTACTTCATTGTAGAACTTCACTGAATGACTTCCCAACCCTGCTGAATGAGAAGAGCAGCTAAACTCAACTCTGAGTCTGTTGGCTCTCCGTGTGCTTCTGTGGCACCGACTGGGGTTGGAGTTCAGCATCTGCTGGTGTACTCAGCAGAACAGAGGCCACAGTGAAAACATGGGTCATGGAGTCTGGTGCTGTGAGATCATAGTTTTGATGGTAAACTGGTGGCCAGCAAGTCAAGGGAGGTGATTCTCCCCCTCCACTCCACTTTCATGAGATCCCACTTGGAGCACTGTGTCTTGTTCTGGAACCCACAAGGACATAAAGCTCTTGGGGTGAGTCCAGGGGAAGGCCACAAAGATGATCAAAGGGCTGGATCACCTCTGCTATAGAGACAGGCTGAGAGAGTTGGGGTTGTTCAGTCTGGAGAAGGCTCCAGGGAGAACTTACAGGGGCTTTCCAGTACCTGAAGAGGGGCTACAGGAAAGCTGAGGAGGGACTTTTTACAAGGGCTTGTAGCAATAGGTAACAGCTTTAAACTGGAAGAGGAGAGGTTGAGGTTAGACGTTAGGAGGAAATTCTTCACTGTGAGGGTGGTGAGACCCTGGCACAGGTTGCCCTGGGAAGCTGTTTCTGCCCCATCCTTGGAAGTGTTCAAGGCCAGGTTTGATGGGGCTTGGAGCAACCTGGTCTGGTGGAAGGTGTCCCTGCCCATGCAGGGGGGTGGATCTAGATGGTCCTTAGGGCCCCTTCCATCCCAAACTATTCCATGTTTCTATTATATGCATTCATTACACCAGCTGTGCTGTTGCCCTCTGCAGCTACCTTCAGGAGGTTGTTTCATCTGATTTCAAAACTAGATTTAGTTGTGGTTGGTTTGTACTCATATTTACTCTTGTGTAAACAATACACTTCATTTATGGTTGGGCCAAATACAAAATAATGTGTTGGGAAGAGATGTTAAATTCTAAAAAGGGATTTTTATGTTAGTGATAAGGACTATAGTAGAAATTATTATACTTTTATGAGGTCTGGATCATTTAAAGAGGAGAGAATGTTTATTAAATAACCCAAGATTTCATTTGATGCACAAGTGCAGCATCCCTAATGAAACAGAAGCATCTCTGTGGTCTATTATTTTCTCTACTTAAAATTAGGTTGTAAGATCTGTCATCCCCTCCCTATGCAGTTCTGTGCCAGCAAACATAAGTCTCTAGTCACTTTTATATGCCTGGTGCCCTCACTTTCTAGTCTCACCACTGAAATTCTTGTGTTTTGAGCAGTTATACTAAACCTGTGACCAGTTGTGGATTATGATCCAAATGCAGAATTTTCCACAGTTAAGGTTGTCTGGTCTGTTCTGAATCATAAAATTTAAATCCTATCTTAATCTACCTAAAATACAGGAATGAAAGTTTGTAAGAGAGATGTAATTTGGATATTGTGTTTATTGCACAGAATCCACCACCAGAAGATGTGCTTTGTTGGTCTTGTTAAGTATTATGTAGAGTCACTATTTTTCTAACTGTAATTTTCAACTTATTTCCAGTCATCCTTCAGTAAAAATGTACATGTAGTGCATGTGAAATGACAGCTCTGAATCTCCAGCATGTGCCCAGTGTGTCTTTTCTTTCATTCTTCCTTTTTAAGTGAAACATGGTGAAAAGTTTTTCTACCAGCCTTACGTCAGAGATGTTTTAGACAAGGTCTGGGTTATTAACCATTGAGTATGGACTTCTTTGTCCTGCTAAACTCTCCCATCAGTGTGCTAATTAGTACAGAGTACCAGTGACTCCAAACCTTTGCTTATTTGCCAGGAAATCTCCTTCCCATTCCATGAATTTAAATACCTCATTTGACTTTCTCATTCTTATAAGGATATATAGTCACCCAAGCTGCTGTTTCACCAAAGCATTTTCCTTTGAAGCATGTGCTGTTTTGTTGCAGGTTACTTTTTCATGTTAGCAATGACAAAAGTAAACCCAGGGCTACTCCTTGGTTTTTATTTTCCAGGGTTTATTATTGTATTTACAATTCCCTGTAAGAAGATACAACCCTTTCCCAGTAAGCGTTCTAATACCTTTCTATGTTGCAAATACTAATGACCCATATACCCAACAGAAAGAAGATGATCAGTGATGAAGGAGGTATCTCTAGGGGCTGATGCAGATGAATAGAAAACTTAAATCATTATAAATATTACTGTACTGCACTTTGGTACAACCAAAAAAAACCCTTCAAAGAAAATATTTAATGTTCCCTAAGTCAAATAAAATTCGTAACAATAGGAAAGGAAATTAACCACATGGGGGGTTTTATATCTGTAAAAAATAATAAGACTACTTGGCTGCATTGCACATAGGCAATAAAATTAGATTAATTCAGATCCCTTTTACAGTAAGCCTCCTTTCAGGCTGTAAGCAAGAAATGTCCACTGTGCTTTACAAAGGACGACGACTAGAAAAATCAATGCAAACAAATATCCCTTTCTTTTCTGATTCACCATTTATCATGAGAGATGACAGACAAATGAAGTCTCCTCTGAGTCTGAGCGTAGTTGTATTAGCATTTTGCTAGTACCAGGCAGTATACAAAAACAGCCATGGTGTGTGACACCTCCAACACCTACAGGTAGCTGTTTTAGGGGCACATCCTGGTTTGTGGTGAAACAGGTTTAAGTCAGCCAGCCTCTTGTACCTGCTCAGTGATATCAGGTTATCATCTCAGTAACTCCAAGGTTGGACTGTCTTGTGCCTATTGCTGACTGGACTGACTGCTCCACCATCCATAAACAGAAGGCATAAAGGTGATTACAAACATAAGAAAGTAGTTTTACATATTGTCTTGCAGTCTTTCCATATAGTCCCTAAGTTCCTTGGAATCACCAAGATTCATATCTTGGCATACCCATTTAATATTGTCATCACTGTCAAATAGAATTGAGTTGGTGTAGGGGCCTCCATCCTCTGGCAGTATTGTTGTATATGAAGTGAACTTTACTCGCTTCTGCTTTGGCCCAGAAGGATTTATAGGTTCACTTTTAACTTCTTTTTCACAAAGGTACTCAGAAGATCTGAGGATATGATTATGAAGAGTCTTCTGAGAACTCCCATTAAGGAGAAAGTTGCTTTCTTCAAACTGCATTCCTCTGTCGATCATGGTGGTGCACTCCTCTGATGGGAGCGAAATGTCAACTGGGTTTTCCAGCAGTTCAACTTCATTTCCAAGCCAGACCCAATCATGGGAATGGGGGATGTTGCCTTGCTCACTCACAGCAAACCTTTTATGCCTGTACTTCCAAGCAAACGCCACGCAGTTAATCAAAAAGACTAAGATTGCTAGGCAGAACACACAGAGCAGGGCATACATGCCAATTTCCAGATCTGTTAATCCTCTTGAAGTCAATGTGAGATCACTGGGATTGTTTTCTCCTGGTATTTCTACTTGTGCAGGGAGACCTGTGAAGGCAGTTGGGCTATTCTGGCCATCCTCCAGGGACTCCTGATCAAGGGGAGACGTGAAAGTTGTGCTTTTGTTTGCATTGTCCTCGTAACTGGACACGTCCTCATGGTTCTTGGACCATTCTTGTGCTGTCCTCTCTTGCTCTGCAGGTTTCTCAATAGAATTGCTCACATGGCTTTTAAAATCTCTATCCACATCATCTATGTCATTAGAGCTTCCTTTTTGGTCAGAATCTTTTTGACCAAACTTCACTTTTACACTTCCTTTCCCAACAGCCAGAATGCTCTTCCTCTTAGTCTTCTGACATGTCTCACTGATGACCATTTCAATTTTAATCAAAGGTCCTTGCCCATCCCCTTCCGCCACAACCCCAGGCCATTTGGACTGAAGGTTTTGGTGTGCAGACACTACCATCTCATCTAGTGAAGTGATGGTGATGGAGAAGTCCTTGGAGTCATAGATATCTAATGGTGTCACTGACCCATCACTGAACAAAATCCAAGCACTGACTATGGCTTCCTAGGGGGAAAGGGAATGAGAAAAACAAACAGTGGGAAAGGTAAGAGAGCACATACCAGATATTCAGTTGTTAAAATCTGTTTGATAATGGCAGAATAAATACACAGTTTAACTTTTGTTTATTTTGTTTTGTTCTGGTTTTTTAGAATAAAATCAAAATATCTGCTTCACTTCTCATTTTCCTCTTGCAGATTTGTGTTCTCTAGGCTTAGGCATTTATCTCATCTTCAGGAACTATCAAAAACACACCCATCTACATTTAATAAAAGATGCATGAAAAACAGCTGGCAATTCTTTTTTCATTCTGAAGTGAGAAGCAGAAGAATTTTAAATTTTCTGCAATGCTTTCAAGTATACAAGATGATGTGAAATACACAAAAGTGATTGTAGTCCTTTCTGGGAACTATAGAAACACTCACCAAAATGCCATTTTTAAAGGATTATTTAGCCAAAATGGTTTGTCTTGTTACTGCAAATTGCTAGTGCTAAATAATAGTCACACTTTCTCTAGGGAATTCTCAATTCTATAATGAATACAATAAATAAAGACATATATACTTAATTCTGTCATCTCATCAAAAGCTATTGAAATCCTCAGATGATACAGTTCAAAGTAAGCACAAAATCATCAGATTTCAGCAGATCATGAAAATTTCTGTACATGCAGTCAAGAGATCCTTTTGGCTGAACTGACTTTGTGAGACTATCAAGGCATGGGGTTTCTCCCTCTGCTTACATAGCTGTATTTTCCCATAGAAAAGCTGTGCATTATACATGCACAGGCATGTCCATACATCCTGTGTTGTGCAGGTCTCCATACTAGTTCTGAAGAGTTCAGTTGTCATTCTGTGTGGGTGTTTCCACCTGTAGGAGTTGGTCAGTAAGATAAGCAGCCTTTACTGTGTGTAGTTACTGCTTTTCACACAGCCACGCATTATATGTGCTGTCTAAAAAGTACAGCAAGTGGCTCTTCTCCAGCTTCTGATAAAGCACAGTAAGCAAATTCATTATATATACTATTTTGGATCATACCTGTTTTGGAGTATGAAGGATATCATATGCGGAGGTGGTAGAAACAAGAGCTCTCTTATTTCCTTTGCTGATTTGTAAGGAGAGAGACAAGCCTGAAACTAATTGTACTCCTAGATCTGTAATGGTTACACGGTCATCTAGAACTATCACTGTCTTCTCTGCCAAGATGGAATCCGAAAGAGGTGACAGAACCTTGAAAGAGAAATCAAACAACTTGCATGAAACAGCAACTAACTGTGTTGTAAAGCAAGATTAGACTAATCAGCATAGCACTTCAGATTAATCTCAGGTTTGTCACATCCCTTTATAAGCTAGAACTGATGTTTCCCCCAAACATGCCACTACTTTGCTGCTATACTACTTTATTTACGAAAATAATGTCATAAAACATCCAACTACTTCAAAATTGCAGCTTCATCTCAACAGTGGAGTACAGATTTAACTAAATGGATTTGGCTTTCAAAAAAAGGTCATTTTTGTGTGTTCCATAAAACATCCTCTGAATGCAGCATAGCACAAGACATAGTGTAAGACATTGACTCATGCTGGAATTCAATAAGGAAAAAAGTAAGTGTACAAAGCCTGGCTGATAGGAATTTGGCCTGATGCCTTTATAGGGACAGAGGACCCGAACGAAATGACAGTGAGATTTGCAAAAGGACTTTGAAAATCCCACTGAGGGCCTATCTGCACTTTCCAATGCCAAAACAGTCCTGTCAGTTTGCTCTAAGACCTCGTTTCTGACATGCTTAGAAGGAGACAGTCATCTTTCTACTGATGCCAGAAACAGCTCATTCAAGCCCAAAATATTTGAGGAGCAATTTGTCAAAACTAACATCAGCCATCTACAGTGTAGTTGCCTTCTGCTCTTTTGTAGTCACTTGAGTGAAAGAGACATTTTAAGGGCAGAAATCCCTTGACCTCTGTGTGATGTTTGTTTTAGCTGAAAGGAGCTGAGCCCTAAAAGTACCTGTTTCTTTGTGTTGCCTACAAAGGAAATTTGGTGTGACTGGAACATGACACACAGTTTCACCTAAAAGTATTTTAAGGCAGCGCAAATAGTAAAAATTGAAATGCATTCAGACTTGATTTTGTGTTTCGCATGTAATTTTTTTCAGCTTGTTTTTTTTTTATTTTCTGAGAGCAATTAATGTTATAAGCTAAGTAGCTATTGTGTTTGTGTCTCCAGGACTCCATAGAAGCTGCAGATACATCTGAGGCTGTACCTGGACTGTGGTGATACCGTGCTCACGACCAACCAGAACTCGGCCATCTTGAAGCTGAGCAATCTTGGGTTCTTCTACCTTCATGAAATCAGTCACAAGGTCAGTGATGTCAAACTGCCACTCAGAGCCTAGCATATAGGTCAAGTGGCCTCCAAACTCAGATGATTCAGCTACAAACTGTGTGAGAACTCGCACCATGGCGTGCTGATACTGCAGGGTACAACCTCTTCCTTTTTTCTCATCATCCTCTTCATCCTCACTGTCACGGGTAGGCCTGTAAGTAGATCAAGATTTGTTACCTGCTGAGTAACAGCTTCACTTGCATGGTATTTCCAATAGATGAATATTAACATTCTTTGCTACCATGGGAGAAATAGGAAACCTGATTTTGAATGTGTTAAGTTACTAAGGATTCCCTGCTTAGATAATGCCACCCCACCTTAGCCCACATCTCTGTCTCACAGGTTCTTTAAGCCCTCTCTGCATTTAAGAAATATACCATGATTCACCCTAAATCTCACAGACTTGATGCAGGTGTCTGGTATATTTGGTCATGTCAGGACCACACAAGGCTTCCAAAAAACCAAGTGAGGAACTTCAAGTTACCATTTGGGACATCAGCTACTCACCCCATAGAAACAATTGCAGCATTAAACACACTGTCTTTAACATTTTCCGACTGTATGTCCCCCTTACAAAATATAACCTGTGACAAAATAACAGCTTTCATAAGTCTTATGTAAGGGATCACAGTGATTTGTACATGAGAGCAGTTCTGTCACACCTCACAGAATTTTGTCTGCTTTTAAACCCAGTTTCCCTTCTTTGTTTGGATTTAGTTTTTTGTTGCTCTTTTTTTTGCTATTGTTTACTCATTGGGACAAACACATGAATTTTCTTGTCTCTCAAGTCAGATATTAACCACCAGGTGGTCATATTTTTACTCATTATGCCCCCATGCTGTGGAATTCATGGCTCAGAAATAAATTGCCTCCCTCCTTCACTTATTTATTGAGCCTAAAGCCACCAGTATAGCAAGGGTAGGAAATACAGGGCCAGCCTCATTTTTCACAGTATTTTAGGAAGCATTTTTGTGTTTACTGTGTTCCTTTATCTTCTGCTTTGAACTATAACTATTATAAAACAGAATTGCTTTTGTTGTAATTTGTTTTATGACAAAGCTGGCAAACAGTAAGCTGAAAAAATATCTAAGAAAAACCCCTATGCTCTTCAAAATGATAGAAAGTTCTGGTGTTACAGAATCTAATACACCTGAAATTCCTTTTCAGTGCATCACTTATATATAAATATTTATATATTTATATCACTTATATATATACATTTGACCTCAAGTAAATGGTAGTTGGCACAACCTTTTGGGTTTTATGTGTGTAAAAAAAATGTGAGTTGTAGGAAATACCACCAGAGATAAGGGCACAGAGGGAGCACTCTGGCTCTTCTTATTTGCCTTCCTGTATGGGCAGCCAGTACTGCCAACTACAAAAAGATTATTCAAATCCAATTCTTTCCTTCTAGTATATGTAACAAACAAAGGTAAGGGCTCCATTTTGTTATGAAAACATTTAAAGGTGTTTATATACCCCACCTTAGAAATGCATGGTTTCTATTGCATGCCAATGGAGAGCATCAGAACAGCATCCCTACCCCACTGTGGGCAAGGCACTTTCTTAATGCAAAGTAAAAAGTGAGGTGTTGGAATTTTCAGTATGAGCTTTGCAAGTCTGCTGTACCAGCTCTAGTTCCTTCTTTTTTTAAACAAATAACATTCATTTCTTCCTCAAAGCCACAAATCTATGATTCAGTTAGTAAGAGCATTTCAGTGTTTTGTCTCCATGGGCACAGAAAAATGTTTGAGATCCATCTTTAAGGTCTTAAAACTGTTTTCAGTAGGCTTAAAATCCTCTGTTAAGCAGTGAGCTCATTTTCTTCTTAGGCCACGTCCTCATGAGCATGAGCTACTGCTGTATATTGTGCTTTTTTCCCCCTTGGCCCTCTCCAAGGTTAGCTGTGGATAGCTCTCAGAATCCTTCTTATACTGTACCCTGCTGCTTGGCAAACTTACTTGGAAGATTTTTTTGCTTTTCTGGAGTGAACCAAGGTTGCCAGAATTACATTTAATTTACATTTCACACAGAGAAATCCTTTGCCAGAAAACTGAGTTAAAAGAGCAGCCCTGTTCCGAGGGTGCCTGCTAGCACTGATGTAATCACTATCTGTCAGCTTTATATTACAGACACTGTGAGCAGTTTAAGTATGTCTCTTTTAATTTGCACCACTCTCAAACCAGGCATCACATTCTTGGGCCAGATGTTAATTTTCTGTTAAAAAAACCCTAAAGAAATAATTTTTGCTGGTTTTGAATTTGAAATACTCATTAAAAAGAGTCATGTATTTAAAAAACATTTGCAACAGCCCTAATTGAAAAAAGTATCTATTTTGTATACAAAATACAAAGTCACTAGAAATTGATTTAGTGGAAGCTACAGAAATAAGTTGCAGATAGCTCTACTGACAGTTCAATAACAAATGCAATTTGGTACCTTTACAGATCTTGAAAATATAGTCTACCTGTTATAAAAAATCTCTATGGCCTTATCTCCATAGGACATTAAAGTCAATTAACTAAAGGAATGAATTTACAATGTGTTCAAGCTTTGTGTGAATGTTGTTTTTCACAAATGGAATGGTTTGAACCCAGTTTAATTTAATTCACCTTGAAATGTGGCTTGTGTGTGTGTGTGGCAGCATTCACACACAGCTTTAACTAAAGCAGTTTATCTCTTCCTGCACTTAAGTTAGGCTAGCTTTCCTGCTGCTGTCTGTGGCAGAGCCACTACCTGATTGCTCATCAGTTCAACAAGTTGTCATTGATGAGCAAAACCATGGCTGGCTGCACTCTGTTTTGTAGGTTTTTAAGGTTTATTCTACTCAGAGGTTTGCAATCACCATGACTTAACAATGGCTTGGTCAGCTCTTGTTCAGAAAGGCTGGATGCTGGGGAAAGGCCAGTCTGCCTGGCCCTGACGCATATGCTGGAGTCACACTGTGTGATGTCTGCCTCCCCGGGAGCCTCAGGAAAACAATATGCTTATCCCAGTGGCAAATATTTAGTTAAATTAAGTTTATAGCTTATTCTGTGAGACTTTAACCATGCAATTCCTAGTAATGCTAGTTGAAGCCACTCGTCCTGTGTAAATGTATGTGCATAGAGCTATAACAGGAACTAAAACAAGCAGGTAGTTATTTTGCAGATGCATGAAGAATCAAAATAAATGTTCTTGTGAGACTAGCAGAGGCTGCCTGGACCTCTTCTACACGCTAATATTTGACTTTAAATATACACCTTTTTTTTGCTGAGATTGTAGGCTTTTTTGCAGCCCATTGCGGGAGCAGACTTTCTGTTGGCCTAGGCTAGTTGGAGGACCATGTACATGCATTAGTCATGAGCTGATCCATGGAGCTGACTTTCATCTGGAAAGGGAGGCACTCTGTATCTGCAGTAGCACACACCGTAGATCAAGCTCTCCTCTGGAGAATAATAAAAGTTTGCCATATATTTACAGGCTGATCTGGTAAATTGTTACTGGTCTTGCACAAGGGAGACTATTTTTTTTTCCAGTTTCTGACATAAAAACAGCCTGCTGCTTCTTTCTGTTCCTCCAGCAAATTCCTGCTCATACAGCAGTTCAACCCAGGTGAAAGCCAACACAGTTGCAACTGAGCTAGGCATGTGGCATTTGTGAAATCTTTGTCAAGACTGTCTCTTTCATTGCTTTGTGGCAATTATTCAAGATGTTAAGTAAACAAACATGTCTGTAATCACATGTATTTTACAATTACAAACATGACAGGGTTTATAGGGAGAAATAATACATTTTATTAAATCAACAAACATCATTGGAAAGAACAGATGTGAATTGGGTCATATAAACACTTTTTCAGGCCTGAAATAGAAGCAGCTATAGTGAGATGAAGAACAGCTATGCTGAGGCAGTAGTTTCACAAGCATTTCTTTTGTCAACAGCACCAATAAAAACATTTAAAAGATTATTGTAAACCCAGTTACATTTTGCCATCTGGCTCAGCCCCTCAGACAACTGCAGCAGCCCAGCCACCCTGAGCATGCAGGAACGAGGCAGTGTGGGGAGCCAGGGGAGAGGAAGGAAGGTTCAGAGGTTGCTGAAGTGTCTCTGTGCAGCCCCTGTAAGAAATGCTCAAACATTTTACCTTCTGGATATGGATGAACTACTTCATAGCACTGTTTATTTCTTGCTGAGAAGGGAGAAGTGTGAAAATATCAACCGCAGTGGATAGAAGGAGAGTAGAAAAGTGTCTTGTCTGTGGTGAGCTTGGAAGTGAGGAAGACACATTAGAGTCCTTCCATGACTAAACCTGAGGACAGTGACCCAGTTTCAGTTGACCTATAGGCTGCGTGGAGCTGACCCTAAATTAAAGACTGCCAAAGCCTGTTGCAGGGGCTTTCAGAAAAATCCCAGAGTTAGATGCCCTCTTCTTTTCAAATTAGTTTCCTTTAAGGAAAGATATCAAAAACCTCATGGAAACTGGCTCTTAACAGGAAAATGAAGTTGGAGCAGTACAATGCAATAGCTACTAATCCTGCTGGGAAATGCTTGGATTTGGGGTTTGTTTGTTTTTTAAAGAGTAAAACATTCTCATCTCTCTCAGGAATCCCACACGATGACCTTCCACTGTCCAGCATTATCCACACCAGGAGGGCACTGTGAAGAATTACAGGCTGAGCCATTGTTCAGAGTAAGTAAATGTGGCCTTTGGGCTCTATCACTGGAGGGGGATCCAGGAAACCAACCTGCAGCTCCTGACTGCAGTGCAAATGTCTTGTGTGCTTCAGGTCACCATTCTAAAAAACTCATCATAAAAGCTCGCTGGTGTTTAATTGCTGGGAACCATATAGTTATGAAGGAGGTGGAGGTATAAGCAGATGAACAACTAAAAACAAAACTTTAAAAAAAAAACAAAACAGAAAAGCCACTAAAACTCAGGTAACACTCATCCAAATCTAAAGATAAAGGAAATGTAAAAACCTTATGTACAAAGTAAATGTCAGACTGACCACAACTGATGTTAGTCCTAGATTGCCTATTGATTTAGAATACCTCCAAAGCTAAAAACATCCACATGAATGTTCCATAAAACAAGAGAAAATGCATTTCTTGTTCACACAAGCATGAGCTGCTGACACACACAATGTCATAAACTACCAGCTGCAGTTCTGGGGAATGATACAGCATCCATACTTTCTTTTCCTCCCTTCATTGAAAATGCTCACTGAAGATGTGCCAGCAGTTCAGATGCAATCTGAGCAGCAGCAAACTCACACCACTTGCCAGCCTGCAAGCAGAGCAGACTCTCGAGCCATTATCTTTATTTCAGCTGGCCAAATAAATCAGAACGAGACACTGGGGGGTAGATTTCCAGCACTGTGTGTAATGGGTTTAGAGTCAGAATGTCGACGACCATTAACCACAGCTGAATGTCTAGCTCACTGAGTGAGCTGCTGAAAGTTTACTCCTACAATAAACATCAGTAGCCTAATCCTGCGACCTTTTAGTCAGCAAAAGCCCCACTGGTTTTAGTAGGAGCTGCCCCTAAGGGAGTGCTGCAGCACTGAGCACATTACAGACAGAGAAAGGTAAGGTAAGTGAAACTTCAAGTAGCTGGCATAGGTTCATTCATCACCTGCCACATCTCTTCCTGTCACAGACTTTGCCCTTATACTCCTGCCAGTGCCCTGACTCCCTCCTCAGCCCTATTTTATTTAGCACTGTCAAATATCACGCACACACACATACAGGATGTGAGAGGTCAGCCCTATTTTATTTAGCACTGTCAAATATCATGCACACACACTCTTCCATACAGGATGTGAGAGGTTCAGGTCCTTTCCCTCACTTTTGCACACTGGAGCGTATGATACAATTTCCTGAGATTGTGTGGTATTGATTAATGCTCCAGGCAAAGCCACTGACTCTTAAACTCTATAGATCAGGATTAAACGTAGCCCACTGATACCATTTTTGGATGTTTTAATGAAGCCAAAGACATGGTGTAAAGCTAATGTTACACAGGAGAATTTACATTCTGATAAATACTCTAAAAATGTATTGTTTTCTAAAGTCAGAGGCCCTGAGCATGTGTCTGGAGTGTGCCTGTGCTGAACACATACCTCTTGTTGGCAGTGACAGGTATCCTCCAGCCTTTGATCTGGCTCAGCTCTGTGTCTGAGATCTCGATCTGCAGCGGCAGCCGTGGCACCCAGACCGTCACTTCTAGCTGCGTGGTAAAATGCTGGTAAGTGAAGTTAACAATAGTATCCACTTTGCTTTTCATTTCCTTGCCATTAACAAAGATGGAGTCACATCTGTCAGAAACCTTAAAGAAGAAAAGAATAAAATTAAAAATAATAATAATTAGGAAATGAATAGAAGTTCCTGAGGAAGCAGGAGCAATGATACACATCAGTCCAAAGACAGCCCTGATAACATGGGTTATGCATATTGTATTTTCAGTTTTCTGATTAGAAACAAACAGAGATAAATGGACCCCAGGGAAACAGTTCTGTTTTCCTCAATGGCTACCACTCAAACTACGAAAATAATGTAATGATGTTATATAACCTATGTGGCTCTTTTATACTAGGCAAATTTAACTCTTCATGAATCAAACGCCATGTGCCTCAAAGTTTATGTTTACAACTTGCTTAAAGAACCTGGAAAAAATGAGGCCGTATGTTAGTAGGAAAAAGACTGACTCAGAACCATAAAATAGACTCTTCTCCTTTTTCTGTGAGTGCTGTAAAGCTGAAAGACAAAGATCCCCTGTATAGCTCCTGAGCAGAAGTACAGCCAAAGCATTAATTTTTAGAACTTCTCAGCAACTGTTTTAGCAAAATGTATTCATAGTTGCTTTGTGTGATTACATTAAATTACTGCTAAAACTAGCACATGGGGTCTGTACTACAGCTCATCTATCCTTTTGGTTTCAGGGATCCTTTGGCACAAAATCAAGGTCCTGGACACAGATCCTGGTACTATGAAGAACAAGAAATGGCGATGCATTTGACCTGCATCCTGGAAAGACAGAACTCCTTCTTCATAAGGTACAGTTCATTCATCTACTTATGAATGTCTGTATGTATACTTTTAGACTACGTATCTAGATAAACATACATTTAGATTAATGTGCAACATGTTTATATACATGTATATATGTGCATGCATATGCACTTGCATTTGTATCTATAGACAGCTTTGCTTTCTGCTTTGAAGGGAGAGGTGAGTTTCCATAGAGTCCATGTACCACAGATTTAATCTTTTAAAACAATGGCTTTTGAAGGGTAGTTTTGTCACTGAAATGGACTTTGTTCTGTTGTCAGGACTGTTCTGTGTCACATTGTTTAATGCATTGGGAGTCAGATCTGAATGAATTCTGGCTAAGCCAGTGATTCAATTCTGGTTTACTGGAGTTACTGAAATAACTCATGTAGACTTCAGTAGGGAATATGTTGAAACACAGGTTGGTTTTGCTCTGCAAATGTACCTCAAATCTTTTCTGGTATTAACAGGAATTAGGGGTTACTGAGCCAAGAGAAATTACATCAAATGTGTAGCAGCCTTTTTTTTATTCTCAAAGGCAGTCCTCCCATATGACTTTGAAATTAAGTCTGTCCTGCTTCAGGTCTCATATGGAATAATATTGTTTTTCTCTTGAGCTGTTAGATGGACAGTACTTGAGTTCTACTTTCATATGAAGCACACTTAAATAACAAAATTTTACCTAATGGCTCTCATAATGCTTTTAAGATTTAGGACTATTTAAAAAAAAAAAAAAAAAGAAAAAAAAGAAGCCTAACTGTCTGACACAGAGCTTGAAAATACTCCAGGCTCAGGAGTATCACAGATGAGATGGAGCATACACAAAATCTTTGTTTCCCCCTCATAAAGTGTTACAAGTGTCTCTGCAAAGTTGAAGGACATTAATCAAGACCACTAATTGAATGAGCAGTTTTGATTCTAAATGATAAAGCCTACATCTAGGGAGTTTTGTGAGAATTAAGACAAGACAGAAATAATTAGGAACATTCAAAAGGGAGGAATAAACATTAAGATCAGATCAGGGGAAGAACTCATATTTGACATGATAGCAGCTAATATTTTACATTCTCTTGCTGCTTAAAATGTTCTTGTCAGCAGGCAAGAAAGATGCTAAATTAGGGAACTGAAAGATGGATTTTAATTGTAGCTGTAAAAATTTCAAGGTAGCCTTACAAATTTCACAAATTTTATGTGTAGCCAGAGTAATTCAGTCATTTATACACTCACCAAGAGGTAGGTATAAATCAGTATATAAAACTATGCTATAAAGTTCACCCCATGGCCTTGTGTAGAGCTCAGAGCTCATGTTTCACTTAAGTGTATCTTCCAGGAGATAGTCCAGTCTTTATAAAAAAACTTAAAAAGAGACATTATTGTTGTTTCAGTTCTCTATGTGGAATTTGGGTTAACTCTATTAGGTACAAGCAAACCAAAGAATTCAAAGGCAAACTAAGTTTGTGCAAATAAGGGTGAAAACCACAGCAGTCAGTCAGCTGAGTCCAGCTGATTCCCATGGTGAAGTGTGTGAAAACATGACCCCTGTTAACCATTCAGGCTAGAGAAAAGCTCACCTGAGGAAGCCTCTGCTACACTCACACCCATTTGCTGCCAGGTTTCATTCACACCTTACAGCAGTTGTTACTTGAAAGTTGATTTGGGTTCATCTGAAGGAAACACGAACCTTGAGCATTTATAGAAAATGCCTATTTCAGTTGGGATCTCCTCCAGACCAAGGATAAAGTATTTCATCCAGATCTCAGATGAGAGCTGTGATTTCATGCTAACAGCACTCTCACACTCCAAAGTGAAGAGGGAATGAGAAACACACGTTGAGCTTTGGGGATTTGGTGCCAGCTGTATTCTCTGGCTGATGGCCTCCTGCAAATGTTCCACTTCACTCTCTGCCCTTTTAAGTCTGCTTCAGACTTTTCTAGTCACACTGACTGCCAGATGCTGCAGGAAGGGGAACTCGTGTGACCTGCTGCTGGAGCTGGGGGAGTATGTGCCCGTTACAGCCGGCAGTGCTTGGGTTGGCCATGGAGTGAGCTCTGCTGCAGCAGGGGCACACGGGCAGGATGACATTGGCAGGTGACTTAATCCATGGATTTTTTTTGAGCTGCTGGTTCCGAGGGAACAAAGAGGGGAAATGCAGTTAAATCTTCCCTGCAAACACTACACAGTGAGGAAACACAGCAAAAACTTGTAACTGCCACCCTCTCATCTAAAATGCACAGAGCAAGCCTGTTCCTAACAAGTCTGTCCCTACCCATTGTCTGCTGCCTGACAAAATCAGAAAGTGCTCTTTGAGACAGTTTGCAAGCAGGAGGGCAGGATGGCTGGTGATGTGCTCTGGTATGCAGGTCAACAGAAAGAGAGCTGCAATTAACCTCACCAGGCTTTGAAGCAGGTGGTTGGCTCCAAACCTCACAAGTACTTGTGAAAAGCAGTTTGCCCTGTACAGGCTGTCACAGCCTCCTCGTTTTAGACTCATCCAGTACAAAGGTAGCTAGGAGTCCAAAAGAGTAATTGGGAAACCATTCAATGTTTATTAGGTCAGCAAAGGAGTACACAGCCTTTGGGTGAACAGGTAAACTGGAGGGAATGTGAACTGACAAGAAACCAAATAGTGCCTGCTGAATGATTCATCTTTACAGCTTTAGCTTTGACTCCAAATGTCATACTTTACCCTCAGCTTGCAGGTCACTTTGCAAGGAGACTGAATAAGACATGTAACAGAACAGTTGCAGTCCATGTGCCTGTTAACCACCCACAAGTTTTTCAGCTGAACAAGCCTTTGCTGCTAAATGGCTGATTGGCACAAACATTTTTTCTCCATCACTTTTTTTTTTTTGTGGAAGGAGAGGGCAAGATGGCTTCAGGAGAGGCCAAGCACACAGGCAGATGGTGCAGCCTTCTTCAGTGTTGTAACTGTTTTTTCAACAGCAAAATCCAACCTTATTGCACTCCTTGCCTGAGACAAAGCAATTTCTAATGGCCAACATACTAGGCAGAGCCCACAGTCTGGCCTGGCTGCAGCCACCTAAGTCCTCTGCAAACCAACCTACTCAGCCCTGCTCCCGGGAGCCAAACCTTTTGTGGGAGAAGAGGTAGGAATGCTGGAGCTGCAAATTGCAGCCATTTATGAAAGGTGAGAGGAACAGCACACGATGAATGTGCAAGGGATGCAAAGTCTCCTTATTGTGGCTAAGGCTATAAAGAGAAAATTGTAACAAGATTGTAACGTGAATTGTGCCTGGAGTAAATGGCTCATTCTCATAATAATCTTCAAGCTATAATTTTGTGGTATTTCCTGAATGCCTTCTTTTCCACCTTTTCTGTGGCATTGTTCTGGCTTTGTCTTGTTAGGCCATTAGGAAGGACTTGCTGAGCTGCCTTAAACCCTTACATTGTGTGTTTTTCTTCTGCCTCTTGTATCTTTTTATATGGCCACAGCATGGCTGTATCAGGTTTTCATCCTGTTTGGATTATTATGTACCTTATTTTTATTATTGCTACATGTTTGCTGTAGAGACACAGTCTGAAATTACTTTCTCAGCCTGAGCAATCTAGCTTCATGTTTGGGTAATAGTTGAAGACAAAAAGACGGATTATTCTTCTTCCTACCCTCTTCTTTCTCCCTCTTTCAAACAGCTATGTCTGAGCAGTCCCTGGCTCCTGTCTCTTTCTGCCCTGCACACTGAAGCCATTGCTGGAGTCTCTTCTAAACCACAAAAGTGATGGAAAGATATGCCTCTCAAGATATGACTTCAGACAAATAAACAAAGCGTTTTCCCAAACCCTTTTCAGCTAAAAAATGCTGGTTTTATTTAAATTCAGAATTATGCCTGATAGCACTCAGTCTAGAAAATGTTAAGACTTCTTATTTTGGCTGTAGTTCTGTCTTATGTCATGACATGTTAATTCCTCTTGTGCACAATATTTGCCCATATGTACGTGTCAAGTGATAACATCAAAGTAGAAATTTTCATTAGATTTTCTTTCTCTTTTAAAATTAAACCTAATTGTCCCATCTAGTCACAGCTCTGCTCACACACTCCCGTGCCAGGAGCTATGTTGGCAACCAGGACCCAGCCAGGTGAGAAGCACCCCATGAGGTGCACCCCATGAGTGCCTGTGGGTCAGAAACCCATGCAGCAATGCAGTGCAGCTTCCAAAGCTGCATTAAATGTATCATGGCACCATCTGTGCCCTGTGAGGCTTAACAGTGCATTGATCTCAGCCTCTTCCACAATCAGGGTTTTTCTGTGCAGTTAATTC